CTGGTATAGGTAAGAAATTATGTTGTGTGTCACAGGTAGCTATCTGGATGGAGATAAGTGTTTGTGTTTTGAGGCACAAGCAATAAAGTCAGGCTGTAGACCTGTTTCTTGCCTCTTTTACCAGTAGCCACCTGCAAACCTACCTGTAATTTAGGTAACAGCTGACCTCCTGCACAGTGGTGATGGCAGACCAGAAAGACCATCATAAGGGGAGGGTGATGTATCACTCAGTTCAATTAAGGCTCCATCCGCTCAGGAGGATAATATTGTAAGACTCCACACAGGAGTTGGATTTCTAGGACGTGTGTAATATGAAGGAAGCCCTTGAAAAGCCCTGATCCTATAGGATGTGAACATACTGAATGCAACTGAATAGGAACATGGCCTACTGATATTGCTGCAAGATGGACATTGAAAAAACTATATGCCAATCTAGCCTATTCCAGTGGCCTGTAGTTAAGGACTTTTGGTATAAGAGCCTCAGCTGGGTCCAAATTATGTTGGACTGCCTATACGAGGAACTGTTTCTATTTGGAGGAGCTAGTTTTCATAGACAATGTCCTTCCTGTTCTGTAAGAAGATTTTATGAATCTGTTGAGAATACTTTCTATCAGTAAAGCTCAGCCGACATTATAAGTCATCATGAGATTGGGAGGGCTGGTTGACTGTGGCTTTCAGTTATCATGGCTGAACAAAACAAGACATAAAGGAAGTCAAAAGGACATGTGCAAATGGTCAGACACCTGGAAATGTCTTAGCCAGTAGGAAGCCATCAAGGTTTTCATAAGCTCATCTCATCTAACCTTGGATATTACCAAGGGAATCAGGTAAAAAGCAACAAAAGGCCTGAAGAAGACAGGAAGGCATCTAATGAGAAGCCTAGTGTTCCAAGTACTTTTCTGAAGCAGAAGTTTGGGCACTTGGGGCTAAATCTGAGCTCACCCACTAGCTATCTAATGTGTAGCTGCCTGCACAGTGCAAATTGGGTATCTGTTCCAGCCTCTTGGAGAAGGACCTGCAAGCAGGGGAAGCCCCATGTAAAGAAGACTGGTGTCTGCCCTCAGTACTGTTTATAGAGTGTTCCCAATGACTGCAATGCAATATGCATGAACAACATTACAAGGAAGGACTTCTCCCCTGATTGGGTAGCATCCTCCTCCCTGAACGACAGTAAGGCTTCCTCTCGCTCATTTTCATCCTGTATTCATTATGCTTTCTTTCTTGGTTTCCTAGGCTCTAGTCTCAACAGGAAGGCACTCTTACTTCTATCTGGTGTGTGGTGTTCCTCTTATACAAAGTGGTTAGGTTGCTCTTATACAAAGTGGAAGGTCAGCATTTAAATCTGTTTTGGGGGAGGTGAACCTAAAAGTTGGGTATTGTGGGTCTCTCCTGTCCTAGTTGGGAGAACAGGGAAAAGGATACTTCTGGGCTGCAGAAAGCTCTTGCTGATACATGCCCTGGTAAGTTTATCATCTGGGTGTGAATGAATGCCTATTATGTTTCCCCTTAAGCGTGCTGTCCTAATTTCCAGCTGTTTTATAAGCATCCTTTGTCCTCTGAAGTGTCCAAAGAATGTGAATTGATATTCTACTGTGACTCCCATGTGTTTTCAATGGGACTGGATAGTAAGCAATTTCAAAGTATACATTCTGCCTGTCAAGAACTAAGAACCAATGCTTAAGGAGAATAATGGAGGAAACTATTCTAATCCTTCACCTAAGAGAAAACATATGAAACAGGATGTTCTGCCTCTTTAAGAGCCTCAGGCTGCCAGCCCTATTCCATTATCAGACCTAGCTGTGAATAGGTCAGTTGATCCTAAGAAGGGCTTGGAGTTTAGCTGCAATACAGAAGTTACAAAGAAACTGTAGGTTTTTCCATTATGTCCCACAGCAAGGGGACTAGAAAAAAAGGAGGAAGAAAGAACAAATAATATGTCCTGACCCATGGTGGGCATAGGAACAGCTTTGAATGTTGAACAGTCATTGAGGTTTCTCTAATGTGACAGATGCCTCCATCTCTAGAATATCTGCAATGTTCAAAGGAGTGAAGTATCAGTACTGGTGCTAGGGACTTAACTGGCAGACAAAGATGAAAAGTCCACTTGTAATGAAGCAGGATGCCGTTGTTCCTGTAGTCAAGCTGTTTCTGGTAGACTGTCATAAATCAGGGAAGCTGATGGAGAAAGTGGTCTTTTCCTCAAATGCACGACTTACTTGCATGAGATGGTGGATACCAGTAAGCTCAGTGGGGCAAAATTACCATGCTGTAGTGGGAGTATTCAGCATTCTTTGTGCCAGTGTCTGTATTGATACCAGTAAGTGTCTTGGTACAATTATGCTTCTGATTCTTTCAGTGGTATTAGTACTAAGCTGATCCTTGGAGCTGGGATCAGAGTTAATCTTTGTTTCTATACTGAAAATGGCTCCTCTTCACCAGAAGTTCAAGTTTAGCTGGTTTTATTCTGAGTCTTTAGGTAGGCAGTCTTTCTGGGAAGTCCTGGCTTCCCATTTTAAGTTTCTTTTCAGATCAATCCCTCTTAGTGTTGGACTTCATCACCAGGGACTTCTGTTGCCAGGGTAATGCCAGGAATTTTCTTGGCATGGTCTTCTCTGCATTGGTCCTTGCTATTATTCTTCTACTTGATGGGGCACTAGACAAAACTGACTTGTTTAACACCCATACTCTAGAGCTCGTGTCTTTAGGATCAGAATATCTCTTTAGCCATTACTGTAGAAAAGCAAATGTCAACTGTGTGATTTGTGCCTTGTTCTTGCCAAAAATTAAAAGCACTTAGGAGATAACTGGATATCAAGCAGACACAGCAGATGCCTTTTCCACTTAAAGTATCCATCTTTCAGTGTCAAGAATTCATTGGAGAACAAGCAGGCAGGGCTAGACACCTAAAGTTTCAGAAGTTCTGTACAGGGTGCATGTATGGAGCTGTACACAGGGGGGACATAAGTATTCCATGCAGATTGGTTAATAGTCACGACAATCATATGCATCATAAAACTTCCTAACCTTTCTGGGTTTCTGACATATGAAAGAACTTAGCCAGAGCTAAGAACTTAGTGAGTTAAGCACTGTCCAGGTTCTGTCATACTGCCACACGCACTTAGAGGGAACTAAGGGAGGGTCATGACTAACCTTCCCTCCCTCTTGTATGAGTGTATAAGGAGGCACAGAGCACACCGCTCTTTAAAAAGACTTTGATTTCACATGTCTGAGGCATGTGTATACCCACAGTGGGATTCACAGTGAAACATAATAAAAAATTATTTTTACTCAGAGTAACTTAAAACGAGACATTCTTAATCTGAAATGTGTGTCCACACACAAATTTGCCCCACAGTAACTAAGAAGTAAAACTAAAGTTATTTTGTATGCAAACTGGGTGTAGACAAGCCCCACTTCAGCAACTAATGAAATGAATGAGAAGGCTTTTTAATTGAATCCATGGGCATGGAACACCAGTTTTCTTAAATTATTATGCAAGAGGCAAGGATTCCTTAGGGTGATATCTTTTACTATGTAGTTGAGATAAAGTTAGACAAGCTTTCAAATGTCAGACATCTTGCATTCAATAGCTTATCCAACTTTAACCCAACTACATCATTGGTCCAATAACCAGTATCACCCTAAGGAATCATTGTATCTCATAATTTCTGGACCATCGCAGCTGAAACATCACTCTTACAGTATCTTAAATTATTAAAAATGCACAACTGTTACCTGCTCTGCAAATCCTCTCACCACCTGCCTCTGCTTTAGATTGGTCTCTCCATCAAGTCCTGCTGTTTCGATGTGACAGATCCCGTCTGGATCAGTAGAATATAACAGCACCATATCAGCAGGAATTATTTCATTACATGAAAGTCGAATGAAGTCCCCAACATTAACATCTTTCCAGCACTGATCTATGTATTTCTTTTCTTTCCTGAAATATACATAAAAAGTAAAATAAAAAATTCTATCGCCTAAAAGAACTTACTGTTAGTAGAAGATGATTACAGTACAAAGTGTATACACAGTTAAAAAAAATACTTAGTCCAAACCCATATATACAAAAGTGCCTGTAAGCCATCAATGCTCATGAGACATTATTAACTTAGGGTAAATGTATTCTGTATGAGAATTTAAACCATTGTATTCATTGCCTAGGATGTAAGTCAGCGAAGAATTTAGCTCTATGTTTTTTATTTCCTAGGAGAAAGTAATATTCACTTTCAAGCTATGAAAATGAAGTGGCGAATCTTCATCTCCTTTCCTAATTACCCTTCCAGAACAGCTGTTCTTGTTTCTTAGTTGGATGGGCACCTATCAATATGTTAAAACAGTCACCTGCCAATTCACTGATGTTCAAAATAAAATTCCACTTGGAAACATCCATACTGTATGTAAATATAATATAGTATACTACCATTCACTACTTCAGTGCAAATCTGTGTGTAGTCATGTATTTTGGTTTAAGAATGCCCTGTTTTGTGTTACTTAAGTGAGTGAAAAATAATTTGTGATTATGTGTCAGAAAAAGATGTGCATGTGTACACATGCACATGCATGTGCGCACACACACAAACGCTGCTGCTTTATCTCTTTGACCTCTGCATTAAGCAGCATCAGGCTATTACAATTCCTGGAGTGAAGTCTATAGAAGTTCATGGCTCTGAGCACTTTTCAGAATTGGACATTGTTATGGAATGAAAAACAATCATAAGCAATAATTAACTTTCCATCTTTGCCTGCTGTTTAGTTTTCACCTGAGGCCACTATCCTCGTATGTAATCAGAGCTGATTACTGGGAACATCATTAGGATTATGAACAAGATTCGGATTTCAAGTGAGGAGTAAGCACCATTGGATGACCTGGAGGAACAAATGTAAAGTGCATGAGTACAGGTGGAGGCAGTATTGCTATTGTCTGATGGGATCAAGTTTTGCTGTCTGAGGGGGCATTTACATGTCGCGGTATGGAAACATTGCCACGGCACAGTACATGTGACTTCTCTGCCATGCACACAGCACATGGTTAAATTTCACCGCTTCACTGCCACAGCAGCATGCTATACCCAGAGAGCACACCACTATGGTGACGTAGCTGGTGATCGCATGCAGACACACATGATCACTACATCACCATAGTGTGCTGCACGGCAACGCTGCACATCACTACGTCGCCATACGGCAATGTGTATATGCACCCTGAATGAATGTTTGTGGGCTGCTCTCTGTGTAGCCAGAAGGCATTTTTGGTGATGAGTTACATTACCTTTAGTAATGGCAAAAACATTTTGCCGAAGATTGGTCAACCCTAAGAGATCGGCCGATGTGCTAGTTTTGTCTGGCTTGTCATATCTATGTGCTAGTATTGGGTACAAATTTAATAACAATAATAAAAAACCCTCCGCCCAATAAGAAGAAAGCTTCATATACTAGACTTTATACATAAAAATTGGTGCTAGTATATCTTTAAAAATGCAGGCCTGAAGCAAGAGGGCACAAATAGCATGAAATTAAATATTTTACTGACAGCTAAAATCAGTTATATAGAAGGGCTGCAGAACATAGTGAAAACCATGCTAATTTCTGGTGGAGGAATAATGCATCCTAAGAAAATAAGTGTCAAAATGTAACTATACACCTTGATGCATTGCATCTTCTCAACAAGACTCTTTACAGTGCTATTTCTGAAATGAAACCTAGCAAATCTAGATTGACTTGCCAGCCAACATTCAAAGTTGTTTAGCCATTTTTCTGTCATGCTCCTGTCTAGAATTCTCAAGGCCTACCCTACAGGACTCATTAATATTAATAGCTCTGATAATGTTTACATTCTCTGACAAGTCACAACGTACCATGAATTTGAAAATGTGTTAGGTTGCTCTGCTAGCAAATACTATATTAAGACTATATTAAAAGCATGCATCTCTTAGCACTAATGATAGATGTGCTTTAAAATGTGTCTGTATCACATGAGGAAGGGCATTTTGTGCCTGAAAACTTGTCAAACATCTCTCCCAAATGTTGGTTGCAATAAGTGATATCATAACAAAAAATCCTTACTTCTCACAGGAACAGAGATGCATTTATGTCCAAAATTAAAACATTTTTTATTAAACTGTAGAAATATTAATGCACCATACATTTTACACAATTACCGTGTAAATTAAGAATCTATAAGATAAAGAGGGCTCAAACATCTAAATGTGGCTACAGAGGGGTTCTTGGAAGGATCAATTCCTGAAAAAAATTAGTTGGGAAAGATATCTGAATAACATGGATATAGAAAGATAAAAGGGGACTTTACAGATAATGAGTGATTCCCAGCCATTTACTGGGGGCTGTGAGTGCAAAGTAGGTATAATATTCACCAAATCTGAATTCTTTGCTTGCTCAGTTGATTGGTGGCAGGGATTGCCAAGGCTTCTGCCAAATGTAACATGGTCCTAATCATTCCAATGTGTTAAACACTACAGCATTGTTGACTGATTTAAAATTTATGCCCACTTTGCAAGATGCAAAAGACAATGCAGAATCAGGTGAAGGAAGAAGTTAGTGATTATTCTAAATTCTTAAGCCAGGATGAAAGACGGTCTGCAGAGCACGAAAGAGAGATGAAAGGAAAGGTAATGAAATGAATGATGTAGTTTGGGGTGACTTTAGGGAAATGAGGACAAGGAGCTAGCTCTGATACAGTGAGTGAAAGGAAACCCATGATTAAATTTGATGTGAAAACAACTTAGGTCAGGGGATACAATGGGAATTCTTTAGGGAAACAGCCTTTGCATTTTTCCCTGATAATAGGGTAACAAAATAATAACTAGAGGTGGAATAAAGCATAAGCATTATTGTCTCACCTGAGGTTTTTGCCTACACTGTTCCCTACCATAAAATTATCAAAACCAACTTGACTATGCTGACAGTGTTGAATATCTGTGTTTACTAGATGGTAAGAATATGGACAGTTAAAAACAAGAAGAAAAAGTGTAGCCATTGCTTATTTAGTGAATTCAGGCTGAAAACATAATTCCTTATTATGGTTAGAGAAGTGGGCGGATCTGAACAGGATGCAGTTCAACAAGGACAAGTGCAGGGTACTGCACCTGGGGAGAGGGAACCAGCATTATGGTTATAGGTTAGGGGCTGACCCTCTCAGCAGCACAGAGGCAGAGAGGGATCTTGGAGTCAGGATTGACTCCAGGATGAATATGAGTCGCCAATGCGACAAAGCAATAGGCAGAGCCAACTGCACCCTGTCATGCATCAACAGGGGCATCACTAACAGGTCCAGAGAGGTCTTGCTCCCCCTCTATGCGGCGCTGGTCAGGCCGCAGCTGGAGTACTGTGTCCAGTTCTGGGCGCCGCACTTCAAGAAGGACGTGGAGAACCTGGAGAGGGTCCAGAGGAGGGCCACTCGTATGGTTGAGGGCCTCCGTGGCCAGCCCTATGAGGAGAGGCTGAGGGACCTGAATCTCTTCAGTCTCCGCAAGAGGAGACTGAGGGGGGATCTTGTGGCTGCCTACAACCTTATCAGGGGCCACCAGCAGGGACTCGGGGAAAGTCTGTTCACCAGGGCCCCCCTTGGAGTCACCAGGAACAATGGCCACAAGCTGAGGGAGGATAGGTTTAGGTTAGATATTAGGAAGAACTACTTCACTGTAAGGGTGGCCAGAGCCTGGAATAGGCTTCCCAGAGAGGTGGTGCTCTCACCTTCCCTGGAGATCTTCAAGAGGAGACTGGATAGGCACCTGGCTGGGGTCTTATGACCCCTGCCACTGCCAGTGCTCCTTCCTGCCCATGGCAGGGGGTCGGACTAGATGATCTGTCTAGGTCCCTTCCGACTCATTGATTCTATGATTCCTTTTGTTTGGTGACACAGTAATAATTACTGGCTGAAGCAGTTAGCAAGTCAGGATTTATGGTAGACATGCCACAAATAAACCCCATACCCTCCTTGCGTACCTCCTTTGATTCCCTTTCTCTGCCTCACCTCCTGCTCTTTCTGCTCCCTGCCCTGTGCCTCCTGCCCAATCCACTGCTGTGCTGCCTGCCCCTCTCCTATCTGCTATGTACCACACAGAAAGGTTGCCTGTGCCACTTGTGGCACATGTACCACAGGTTGCCCACCCCTATGCTAGAAGGTTAGGGGGAATCTACTGGAAGAGAAAATTGCATCTGTAACTGAGGAATTCAAATTTAACAAATAAATTCCCAGTTTTTATTTAAATTATCTTGAAAGAATAAAATTCCCTTTTCTTTAAAATCCTACACTGTGGGTTTTCATCTTTATAAGATATAATAAGAATGGTAACCAGACGGCATCTTCCCTTTCCATAGTTTGAGGAAGAGGAAATTTGAAGGGCCTGAGAACAAATGACAAAATGTCCTCTCCTGAAATCTAGCAGAAAGCCACTGCTAAAGTTTCTGCCAGTTGTAACATGATCCTAAAAACTCCAATCAACTGAACACTGGACACATCTACACATTCATTAATGTGCTTTGGGTAATGTGCATTAAATTTAGTACCTCCATTGTGAGGTACTAGAAAAAGGCGCATTAGCCTATCTTAATGAGCATTAGCTAAAGAAAACAATTTTTTTGTGATGCTTCAATGTGCATTAAAATAGGCTAATGCACATTAAAGTGCGCATTTATACATGCCTACTGTAGCGGTTGAGACTGATTTAAGCAACTCTTTGCTAGTCCATCTACATTAATGGTATCTTACGCTGGCTTAACTAAACTGATTTTAAATCAATGTCACTTAATTTAGCACCTTAACTGATGCACGCTAAATTGATTCAAGCAAGAAGTAAACCTGTTTAAATGTTTACATTTTTTCAACGCTATGTACTCAAAATTATAACAAGTCCCAAGCTGAACTAAAGTACATGGAAGCAAACTGTTTTGTCATGATATGTGATATTATTTATTCAACTACCTACAGAGAAGAATGGGAAACAAGGATTACCATATTTTCTTGGATACCACATGCCTCCCAAATAAGATATGCACCTTGTTTTTGGAAGACATTATGTAGGAAAAAAGTTTTACAGAGCTGTGGCCTACAGCTGGATTTTTCACAAAGAAACTAGGCTGGAAAAAGGCTTCCAGTTTCTCTGTCTCTTCCAGCAAACAGGAGAGAGTACAGGCCAGTATTAATCCTTTCAAAACCACTCTCAATTTGGCACCAGTTTTTGGCAACTTTTATCCCATAAGTGGGGTATAGGGGATATGTAGTACTGTGGGTACCACCACAATATATGCAAGTATTAAAAGGACAGAAATTGCTTTCAGCTCTCTAATTGCTGAATTTATTCTTGTTCCAGTCTCCAGTTATTACAACTTGAATATTTTCACTCTTAGAAATGTGTTGTAACTATGAATTCTTCTGTTATCTTGGTTTAAGAGTGACTTATTTCAACTGAGCTTAATTTGACTTGAACTCAGGGTAGGCTAAACTGAAATAAGTTGTCCTGAATCTAAAATCAGAATGTGTCCACATGGTCAATCCAGAAAGCCATTTTGAAGGTTGTTTAATCTTACTGATTTTTATATGCATCAATATATTTAATTATTGATCAATAACAATATAATAGGAACAGAATCTTGTTACTTACCTACTGTATACTTTTGTTAATAAATTGTTTATCTGTTTATCTAACTTGTATTTTGAGTAATCCTCAATGCCATCCTTTACAGCAATAATTGTGAGAACCACAACTAGAGGTAGCATTGTAATTTCTTTCTGGAAGGCTTCCACCAGTGGGACCCAGTTTAGGACAACTAAAAACAGGAAATACAAATTGGCAGCTCTGGAACAAAGAAGAGATACAAGAATTAGCAGGGGAACGAAGTTAAGGAGGTAAGTAAAAAGGAGATTAAACCCAGGTAGTGATCATTAGTTGATGTTAAAGCAGTTTGCTATGTACCTTCAAAACAAGAACATGTTTTGTACTGTTTGTTAGAAAGAGACATGGCATTTATGTAGCTTCAGGAGACAGAAACTGAACTGAGATTTTACTGTGCACCCAGAATCTCATAACAACACCCTCCTCACAGACCATACAGTTCCTAAAACTCACAGTCTGTTTATAGGTAAGTAGCCTATGGTCAGCAAAGGTCAACATGCTATTAGACAGAAGGCAAGAGAGGATGGCATCTTAAAGACTAACTTGATCAGGAAGTCATAATTTTTTGCAGGGGACAGCCTACTTTGTCAGATGCTTTGTCATAACTTATTCTTTTCTGAACAAGTTAGTCTCTATGGACAGATCCAGACATACAGGCACATGTGGTTTGTGGCACTGCAACCTGCTTTATGGCACCACAAACCACATGTGTTGCACATTAAACTGTGCACCACATGTATCATAGTACCATAGTAGCTAGGGTCAGAAGGGACCTAAACAGATCATCAAGCCCAACCCCCTGGCTTGGGCAGGAATGGATGCTAGGGTCATATGACCCCAATCGGGTGTCTATCCAGCCCCCTCTTAAAGACCCCCAAGGTAGGAGTGAGCACCACTTCCCTTGGAAGTTGGTTCCAGGTCCTAGCCACCCTAACCATAAAGTAATGCCTCCTGATGTCCAGCCTGAACCTGCTCTCTATCAACTTGTGGCCATTATTCCTAGTTACCCGGTGCGGTGTCTGGGGGAACAGGGCATCTCCTATTCCCTGCTGATCCCCTCTGGTGAATTTGTACACAGCCACCAGACCCCCCCTGTCAGCCTTCTCTTGTGGAGGTTGAATACGTTCAGGCCCTCTAGTCTCTCCTCGTATGGCCTGCCCTGCTGCCCCCTGATCATGCCAGTGGCCCTCCTTTGGACCCTCTCCACATTGTCCACATCCCTCTTGAAGTGTGGCACCCAGAACTGGACGCAGTACTCCAACTGCGGCCTGACCAATGCTGCATGTAGCGGGAGGATCACCTCCCTGGACCTGCTTGTGATGCATCTGTGGATGCATGACAAGGTGTGGTTAGCCTTACTGACAGCTTCCTGACATTGGCGGCTCATGTTCAACCTGGAGTCAACAATGACTCCAAGATCCCTTTCCACCTCTATGCTGATGAGAAGGGTGTTCCCCAGCCTGTAGATATGCTGCTGGTTCCTTCTCCCTAGATTCAGTACCTGCACTTGTCCACACTAAACCCTGCACCATATGTGTTGCACATTAAACTGTGCACTGAGGCAAAATTTGCTGCCAGAATTTCCCCCCAGAGCAGGGTGCTGCTCTCCAGCTGGCTGGGACACAGGGTGCCTCAGCTCAGGGACTGCCTCCCAGCTAGCCCCACATTGAGGCACCCTGTGCCCCAGCCAGCCCCACCCCGCCCCAGTACATGGAGTAGTGGGACACAAACCACTTGAGCAGGGACATGCACCGCAGCACAAAGTAGTGGCACAAATTTGTGTCACTACTATTTGTGCTGCAGCAAATGCATGTCCTTACTCATGTAAGTGTGGCCTAAGGTGCCACCCAACACTACCTTCTATCTGACTTCAGACTAACTCGGCTAACTACCTGTCTATGCTATTAGATGACATTGCTCTCTTACGTTCCAGATTATGTAAACATTTAGCTAAATCCACTTGTCTCCGTATCGGTTTAGCAGAGCCATCCAGTTGGCAGGCTACAAGCAGTTAACTCACAGCATGTGGGGTCCTGCCTGGGCACTCTCCCCATGACCCTTGCTGTGGCCTGGATCTCTGGGTTCCCACTTCTTCCTCTTGCTTCCACTTCCTGCCCCCCACCTAAGGAGGCAGACCCAAGAGACCCTCAGACATTAGACAGCCTTGACTTATCCTTGACTTCAACACTGAGAGTGGCATGGTTACACCAATAGTATTTAATTAAATTTCCTGAAAAAACATCCATGACCTCATACAGAAACATGAACACGTATTTGCTTAGTCACTTCCCTGGAAGTTTCAACCGTATTGACAACAGCATTCACACCTCCAGATATGCCCGCTACCAGTTATAGATTGTGCTTAGTGTTGAAGGAAAATAAAGGAGCATTATGATCATGCATTCTCCTCTCTGTCCACATGCTGCATAATCAAAATATTATTTTAAAAGAAATATTTCTGCATCAGTTGAAAAATGCATAGTGCTTCATCTGTGAACAGAAGTATATCAATACCACAGCAAACTTTTCATTCACAGCCTTCCTTGAAACCAGCTGACAAAGTAAATAATTTATATTGTGTTTAATCAGGGAAGGAAAACAACTTATGCCTTCTGGTCTTAGCTGACAGGCAAAGGATAAAACAAGCAACTGACGTAACAAAGGATGCAGAAGAGGAGAAGAATCAGTTTATATAAATCATCATTTGAGAACTTTTAGTTTTTAATTATTACAGCAATACCTTTCCTGTACATTTTGTAGAGTCACATAAAGATAATTTAAGGCACACTTTTTTCACAGATTAAAACATTATGAAATAACTGCTTCTGGGCCTCCATAAACCTTTTCTAGTGAGTTTTTCCACCTCCCCTTTGCATGGCTCTTCAAACCACCAAGCCTCTTGCTTACAATCAAGATTGAAGGGTAGTTCAAGAAAGAGAGAAGCAACTTCCCCACTTCTGTATTCTACAGCTACCAAATAGGTTGGGAAGAAATGTGCCTGAAATGGTACAGCAGACTGCTCTGTTTCAGTCCTCTGAAAAGATCTCATTGGATCTCATCGGTCCAGAATAGTGAAAGGAAGCAAGAGATACCAAATCTGGAGAAATGTGTTATCCCCAAACTAATATTCAAAAGATTTGTATCATATTACAAAGCTGTTATCAAACTTAACAGAAAAGCAATTAGGAAAGGTGGTTAGTTCAGAAATCCTACTTGCACACGTTGATACATGAATGTCAAACAAAAAAAACCTAAACTCAAGGTAATTTTCGTGAGTCCTTTACCTGTGAAACTGTTCAAACAAGTTCCGTGGTATGAAGTTTAATAAAGTGTACTTTGTAGTCCGTATTCTGTTATTCATGTACAATTTTGATACCTTTTCATACTCTTCTTTAAAGTGTCCCAAACAGGGAATAACTATCCTATGTTTGCCAGTGGTTTTAGTTGACTGATAGCACTTGTCACTTGAGTTGCTGCTACTGTTGCTCCCATCCCGGCCTTCTGCAGATACCAGACGCTGCCAGTGATATCTGGCCCATCGGATAGGGTCAGCCATAGAATGTGAAATGTTTTGAGGTTCACGTGGTGTCTTCACTCTAACAAAATATTAACATAAAATTAAATGGTAATTCTGGAGAGGCCTTAAAAATACAAACAAAAAATTGAAAGTGAAAAACTATGAGTATAATAGTTAAGGCATATACTCAGATGAGTCTAAAGCAGGGGTTGGCAACCCCTGACATGCATGCTGGGCATGGCACACGAGGCCATTTTGCTTGGCATGCCACCACCAGCCCCAGCTCTGGGTAGCTGCTGTCAACCACGGAGCCCAGGCTGTTCCCAGCAGACGGCTGGGAAGCTGCAAGCCCTGCTGCAAGCAACCCAGGCTCCATCGTTGGCAGCAGCTACCCAGAGCTGGGGCTGGGTGCAGCAGGCAGGCTGCAAACAGCTGTGCCAGGCTCCAGCATCAGCTCTGTACCGGCACATGCTCCTTGGAGGGGACAGTGATGGGGGCCTGAGGCAGCACAACCCCGGTTTCTCTCACGCTGCTGGCACAGAGCTGATGGTGGGGCTCTGGAACCTGGCGCAGCTGTTTGTAGCCAGCCTGGGCTCTGGGCAGCTGCAGCAAGCAGCAGGCAGGCTGCAAACAGCTGTGCCGGGCTCCACAGCTCTGGCATCAGCTCCATGCGGGCGGTGACTGCGTGCACCCCTTTAAGATCCTTGGGTAGCCTTGCCAGCCTTGTTCCATTATCAGACCCAGCTGTAAGTAAAAGCCTGAAAGTGCTGCAAACTTGGTTTGTTAACCTTACTGTAAGAACCGAGCTATTAAGCAATTTTAAAAACAAAAGCAACTTGAATAATTTGTGTGTGGCCAGAAACCTCTGTTTCAATTGTGTAGTAATTAATATACCTGTCCTCTCTGTTTAAATTTACATTGAGAGGCTTTAATAGTTAACAAACTGCCAAAAAACAAAACTATGACCTCAGTATTTCTTATCTACGTTTGCAGGCACTTTGGTTAAAATATTGCCAGCCTAGTATTTCCATTTCCGTATTCTACAACACTATGGATTCCCTATAATGTAGTTTAAGATTATTAGTAATATTAATCTCTAAATAAAGCATCTAAAATTGACACTTTTTGATAAAACCAAGTGAGAATGATGTGCAGGATTATACACTGACCACTAAAAAACTATCCTGCATGTTCTTTACTCAGAAAATAGGCTAATACAGAATGTTAAATCTGCTATGACAGAAGACACCTTTTTGTAATATAATGTAAAGCATTTTTAAGTCTGAGCAGAAAGAATAGTTCTTTTAGTAGTAAACTGCCCACCAGCACCGCTCAGTATTCTGTGTATTGTGTTACACTAACACTTTTGCATATTTAGAAGTCTGTAGGCCCCATGGGGTGTGCAGGAAGAATGACTACTCAAAAGATTTGAGCTACTCTAAGATCTGAGATACTGCAGGATCACTTCTTGTCCACAGCATATGATCTGAAGCTGAATGTGATAAAACAAAGTAACAAATCCCGTTCATTTAAAAATTATAACATTTAACATTTCCAACAAGTTCTTCCTAAGGAGGTTTATGTTTCAAGGGGTGAGTGTGGATAGCCCCCACATGAAAATGCCTCTTTAAATGATCTCTTTACTTTGAATACTGTACATCAGGGGTTCCCAAAGTTTTTATGCCGTGACCTGGCAAACTACAGCCCAAAAGTGGCTGCGGCCTGGCAAACCGCAGCCCAGCAGTCACAGCTGAATGTGGCTGGAATTTCTAGCCAGATGACAGGTAAGGATACCCAACTCCCGGGGGGGCGGGGCAAACCCTGTGCTGCCACGGGCCCTGCAGAAGGAGTCATGGCCTCTCTGCCCAGCTCGGGGGGCCACGGTTTGCTGGTCCACAGCCACTTCTGGTCCAGCAGCTGACTGTGCTGCGGCCCGGCACCAGGCCACAGCCCAGGGAATTGAGAACCCCTGCTCTACATTATTACCAGCTATGGCACTGATTTCTCCTCTGTGTTGTTTCTCTACAGCTACTTACTCAGCCTTAGCTTGTCCAAACTAAAAATGTAAACCAAGCAGGCATTTCCTTCCCATGACCACGTAAAGCTGAGCCATAAAATTTCCAATTCTACCACCATATACAACTTCTGACTTAGATGACAATTTTGCTCTCTTCTCTATGTATTGCATTTGAGGGGCATCATGAAACAAATAGAACAGTGCCCCAACAAAGCAACCAAGCCTCAAGTTTTTTGGGCTATAGTTAACTGCAAAATCAAAAAAGAACGAATTCATCTGACAGCTGCATTTAAAAGAAAGTCCTCTTACCAGTCGTTACAATTCCTGGAGAACAAAAACAGCTTTATTAACTCCCTGAATCAGCATCACTACAAGAGTTATATGCAAGAGAGATCTGAAAATCTAGTTGAGGATTTGCCCATGCACAGCAGAATTCTTCCATATCAGGGGTGTTCAACTTCTGGCCCACGGGCCGCAGCCTTTGCATCTGACCTGTGGGGCTCCCCACGAGTCAGGAAATTTGGTGGTGAAGAAGCAGTGGCCATTAATACAGCCACTCTCACCACTGCCAAATCCCCAAACCCCAAGCCCCCATGATGGACCAAGCCAGGCTGCAGCCTCTTTCCCCACTGGGTTGAGTCCCCCCCCCCCACACACACTTCCAGATTGGAGATGAGCCATACCCCACTTCCCTCCCACACAGGACCAGGTTGGGGCCTGGCCATGGCCCCTTCCCCTTGCCTCTCCTATCCCCCCACCCTGCAGGGCCGGGGTGGGCCAAGCCATGTTCCCTTCCCTCTCTAGGGGGCTGGGTCAAGCTCTTTCCCCCTGCTGGGCTGCGCTGGGGCTGGCTTGCCCCCTGCCCCCATCTATGAAGCCAGATTGTGCCTGCTATGCGTTCCTGGACACAAGATCTGAAACACAGGCTGGATCTGGGCCATGGAGAGGCCAGGCACTGCCAATCGGACCCACTGGGCAAAAAGGTTGAGCATTACTGTTCGAAATGAATTAGCAGCTGTTAGAATTCTTGCCAAATGCTTCCCTAGCCAGCAGAGAAAAAGTGACTCTGGTATAATAAGCAAACACCAAAACAAAGTTCCTGCTCTGTTCACTTCAGCTTGATTCTAGCTGCCTCACCTGAACTGGAAAGTTATTTTTTTCCTACCATGCAGAGTTGCTGCTCTTCTGAGACTAAAAGCTTCTATTCTATAAGGCTGACCATCCAGTATGGTGTTTCTTTAAAACATGAGCCACAGCCCAAAGCTTTGATCAACAGTACAGTTACTTCTCTTGCAGGTTTCATGTATGTTTTCCCTAGCTGAGTCTTAAGGCATGGACAAATGAAACAATTACACTGGTTTGGGGGGGGGGGGGGG